GAAGACAGCAAAGGGCAAGAGATGGAAGTTTCCAGGTCTCAGGAAAAGGAGAAATAAATCTGGGAGCCATCAGACCCAGAAGATCAGGACGGGGCTCTGCAAGAGCTGCACAGAGAAGACTTAGAGCCCAGTGGGGAGCAGGGGCAGAGCTCCGACCCCAAACTGGGGCTGTGGGGCACAGACTGGTCCTGCTGCTCCCCAGGGCTGCTTTGCTGGTGATCCTACACCAATCCCACAGCATCCCTGGGACAGCCTGTCCAACACCAGCAGAACACGTGTGTGCTGCCAGAGCCCCAAAACCTCCCCATGAGAAACCCACCCTCTGCACCTCTGCAGCTGGAGAGCAGCAAAGCCAACCCCTGAGCGTGCTTATCACTTTAATTTAAATAAATAGCTGCTTGAAACTTAGGAAAACTTCACTCTGCAGCTCTTGCAAAACCCGAACCCAATGATAGGCACAGCTCGGGCACGAGCCGTAATAAAATGCTAATTGCAATTCATAAATTACGTCGGGATGCCTGGGAATGTTGAAGCTCCTGGATGAAGTGTAGCATTCAATTTATCCTGTGCATGCTGCCGACAGTGCTGCCAGCCTCCTTCTTGTCCCCCTGTGTTGTTTTGTCATCTCTGTACTATCACCAATTCATCACAAAGGCAACTGAACTCGCCGATGTCCACCCACCGGGTGACTTTGTCTTCGCTACTCTATGACTTCTAAATTAAATTGTCAAAACACATTACTGAGAAAAATATCGCGAAGGGGAAGTTCTTCACCCTTTTCTCCCGGCTGGAGAGAGAAGGGGTTTGATTTGGAGAAAACATGTCTGCTTCATTATCCCGCCCGTTATCATATTTCTTCCCTCGGCAGCGGCGGGAGAAGAGTGGATACACAAGTCCTGGATGACATGATGGAGCATCCCACAGGAGTTGTCTCGATAAATTCTGAGATTGCCCAGGAAAAGCTGGGGGGGGGTGGGGGGAAGGTGTGTAATTTTCAGTCTCTTTTATTCCTCCCACTCTCAGACAATTTAAAAGAGATTACGGGGTTTGCTGGTGTGGATTCCCCCGAGCTGGATGTTCCCACTCTGCCAGCACTGCCTGCTTTGGAATCAGCTCCTTGGAGTCCTTGCAAGAGAAGAAACGAGCCCAGGAATGGGACTGGGGAGGGCTCTGAGGTCCTGCTCCCACACCTCTGCTCCTTGGGTAGGGAGGTGTCAGAATCTGTGGGATTAATGATTCTGAGATCGTAGAAAGTCTCTGTCTCTCAGCCCCACTGCCAAAGCAGAAGCCAGAATTGGTCTGTGCTGGTTTCCAGGTTGTTTATTCTGTTTATCTCTCACATGTTCTGCTGCCCTGCCCAGCTCTGTCCAGCAGGGCAGCGTGTGGGGCTCTGCCCTCAGTGGGATGTGACAAACATTAAATACCAGAAACTCCCTGGGCTGCATTTACAAGAACGTGCCAATATCTGTCACCTACGTTGGACAGTGTGTCCCCAGCCTGAACCAACAGAAAAATGCCAACACCACAGTGAGACATGGAGGGCATGAAGAAGGAGAAAAAGGACAAGGCACACCAAATTTTCTCCATCTTGTCCCCTTTGGACCCCTCATCTAGAATCCTAAAATTTTACTTTTTCACCCGTGCCACACTTAATTATTACTTATATCAAACACTCAGAGCTGGTAATTGATCCTGTAAGATTGAAAACTCTTTTCCATGGGCAGAGATCACAGCCAGTGTCTCTGGGGCTCTGTCCAGGGGGGTTCCTGACCCCTGCCAGGGTCCCAGGGCAGCCAGAGGGAAGCTCTGCATTCCCACAGGGAGGGACCCTAAAACTCATCCCATTCCACGCCCTGCCATGGCAGGGACACCTCCCACTGTCCCAGAGGGTTTTCCAAACCCTGTCCAACCTGACCTTGGACACTTCCAGGGATTTGGCAACCTGTGCCAGGGCCTCCCCATGCTCACGGAGAAGGATTCCTCCCTCAGATCCCATCTAACCTGCTCCCTGTCAGTCTGAAGCCATTCCCCCTTGTCCTGGCTCTCCACCCCTGTGAAAAGCCTCTTTTTGTGTTCCTGGTCAGCTCCCTGGTATTTTTGTTTCCTGCAGGAATATTGAGCTGCTCTCCCATTATGCCCCTGCACCACAGAGGGTGTTTGAGGTGTTTGAGGTGTTTGAGGTGTTTGAGGGCTGTGGGCTCTGTCCCCCCAAAACTGGAGCAGAGCCAGGCCAATGCTGGGGAACAGGGAAGGATCCTGGATGCAGCCACAGGAAATAATTCCCCTGGGGATGTGAAATAATAATAATTCCCTTTCCTCGAAGGGAAAGAGCTGCTGATCCCCCTTTTCTCATCCCCACGTTGGTCTCTGGCCATAATGGATCAGCCATAAAAAGCGAGTAACACACTGTGCTCTCATTCCTTTGGCTTTGGACAGTACCAGCATAGCAGACACATATTGTTTATTTATTCTGCTGTGGAGCAAGGCAAGGAGGCAGTGCCCAGTGTTTCGATGGGGTGTTTTTAAATGCTCCCATTCCCTGGGCCCTTATGATGCATTAGCCATCAGTAGTCAAATTGCCTCATATTTGCAATTTTATGGGTTCATTTTATCAAGCACACTGGAGCTGCATTCAAAGCACGGAAATAAAGTATTCCACTTTTGTTAGGCAAGAGCTGCTTCAATGCAAGAGATGGCCAGAGAGCAGAAATCTCTTTTTATTTTCCCTGCCTTTGCTCCAGATTCATCCCCAGATATTGCTTCTCCTTTGCAGCAGAGAGCCCCTTTATGGCTGTGGAAGGTTCTGAGCACTCCAGGAGCTCCCCACCTCTGGATTTGTCCTGCTGGGAATCTCTCCCTGCTCCCTGGTGCTTTAAAAGAACTCCCAGCAAAGCCTTGCCCTGCTTGTCCCCAATTCCAGCAGCTCTGAGTGGCACCTCCTGAGCCACCCCCAGACCTCAGCTCCCACCATGGGGCAGGGAAAGGTTGGAAGCAGCAAATCCACCAGGAATCAGTGGAAAAGAAACGTTCAGGGTGGATTTGGCGTCGGGCAGCTCATGCTCAGCCCATCCCAAGGACTTGGGGTCACCCAGTCTCGGGGTCTGGGTGTTGGGGTGACCCCAGCAGTGTCAGAGTCCTCATTTCCCAGCCAGAGAAGGAGTCTGAATGTGTAGGATCAGCTCCTCAAGGTTATTTATTTTTCCTTCTTTCTCTGCCCTGCTGAGCTCTGTCCAGCAGCTCGGCAATGCCATCCTGTCTGCCCTCAGAGCTGTGTTTATATTTTATACAAAAAACTACCTGGACTATATTTGCAATAACCTGCCAATATCTATAATTTATATTGGACAGTGTGTCTGTACCTTAAACCAACAGAAAAGTGTCACCAGCACAGCAAGACATGGAGGGCAAGGAGAAGGAGAAGAAGGTCAGAACACGCCCAAATCCATCTTGTCCCTTGAACCCCATTCCAAAAACCCCCAAAATTCCAAAGGAATAACTTTAAAAGTAATATTTGTTGTATATCTTTTATGGGTATGTATACGTTTTATTTAAAATAAGAACTTTGTTGTATGCTGTGTCTTTTCATTTTTAAGGTGTTTTTGAGTAAGGTTTGAAGAAATTAGCTTCCTCTGATAAGAAAATTATAAAATTTTTTGGAAGATGTAGGTGTTCTTTGAAGCGAGTATTTTATTATTTTAAAAAAAACTTTCTTTACATATATAGTCTCTATTTTAACATTATTTTGGAACTTAAAACTATATTTAACACGCTACTTAAGAGAATTAACATAGTATAACTTTCTAACATTACACATATACTATTTATTGTAATACTTGTGAAAAGCCAATCATAAAATATATATTTTGCACAATATTATAAGACAATAAAAAGTAAAGCATTATGGATGTTTGAATGTTTTTGGATACTAAGTTATGGAAAGTATACTTTGTGAACAAAGGAATAACTTTAAAAGTAATATTGTGTTGTATATTTCTATATCTTTTATGGTTATGTATATATTTTATTTAAAATAAGAACTTTGTTTGTTGTTTGTTAACGGTTTCTTTTAATTTTTAAGGTGTTTTTGAGTTTGAGTAAGGTTTGAAGAAATAGCTTCTTCTGATAAGAAAATTATATTTTTTTTTTCCCGGAAGATTAAGGTGTTCTTTGAAGTGAGTATTTTATTTAAAAAAAAAAACAAACAAACAAACAAAAAAACAACTTTCTTTACGTATATAGTCTCTATTTTAACATTATGCTGGAACTTAAACTATATTTAACACGCTACTTAAGAGAATTAACACAGTATAACTATCTAACATTGCGCATGTATTTTTATTGTAATATTTTCGAAAATCCAATCATAAGCCATGTATTTTTCACAATATCAAAGTTAACTTTGATATTAAAGCTTTAATAATACGATATCAAAAGGACCGAGGGCAGCGGGGAGCGGCGGCCCGCGGGCTCCCTCTACCGGCCCGCCGGGGAACTGCCGCTGCCCGCGGCCGCTCCGCCCGGCCCCGCTGGGCACGGCAGCACGGCCCGGTGCCTCCCGCCGTCCCGGGGGCTCCGCGACCCCTCCGCCCGGCCCCGCTGGGCACGGCAGCACCGCCCCGGTGCCTCCCGCTGTCCCGGGGGCTCCGCGACCCCTCCGCCCTGCCCGGGCCGCCGCGGGGACCCCCGAGCCTCACGGTGCGGAACTACAACTCCCGGCATGCACCGGGACATGGGGGGAGACGCCGCGATCCCACAATGCATCCGGGCAACTCCGTCATAACTGCGGCGCGGAGGTGCCGTTGATAAAAGGACTTAAACGTCATTAAACGTCACTCAGTGCCGTTAATCGTTTATTGAAGGTTTATTAAAGATTTATTAAAGATTGAAAGCCTCAGGGGCGCGAAGGGGAGGAGGCGGCGGTTTTACTCCTTCACTTCCGGAGAAGCCCACCCCGGTAGAACTACACCTCCCAGCATGCCGCCGCGCTGCGCAGCGTTTCCGTTTCCGGCCGCGGCCGTGTCCCCGGAGGGACGGCGGGGCCCGGGCGGTGACAGCGGCGGTGCCACCGGGCAGGGCCGGGCCGGGCCGGGCACAGCCACCGCCGCTCCCCGGGCCGGGCCGCCGCTCCCCGGGCCGCCCGGGGTCACCTGCATGGGCGGGCGGGAGCGCGCGGCGCTGCCCGGGGCCTGCTGAGGCGGCGGCGGCGAAGCGCCGGGAGCGGGACCGGGAGCGATGTTCGTGCAGGAGGAGAAGATCTTTGCGGGGAAGGTGCTGAGGCTCCATGTGTGCACCATGGAGGGCGCCGAGTGGCTGGAGGAGGTGGCCGAGGACACCACGGTGGAGAAGCTGAAGGAGCGGTGCCTGAAGCACGTAAGGAGCGGGAGCGGGGCCGGGCGGAGGCGCCGGGGTTGCTCTGGGGGCTGGGAACCAGCAGGGAACGACGGGGAAACAGTCCCGGCAAAAGGAGAATTGTCCCCCGAGGAAAGCTGGCTTTTTTTTTTTTTTTTTCAACGCCCTGTAAATGGTTTTTAAAAGAGGATGGGGTAAAAAATCAGCTCAGGTGGGCAGGTGGCTTTGTGCGCCGTGTCTGCTTTTCCCCAAGGATTGCTTGGAACTGCACCGTGTGGGAATAAAATAAATCCGCCTTTTGGAGAGCTGTGTGTGTTGGCAGAGGGCGGTTTGGGCAGGGATCGCTTGGGGATGTTTTGTTCCAGAGTTTGGGGTGTGTTTTGGGGTGTCGGAGCAGTCTGTGCTGTGTGAGTTGAACTCCAGCCTGGTTTTTCTGTGGCTGAGCAAAGGAAGAAGAAACTGAGAACTGAAGAGCACAAATTGCCTGCTCTGTTAAAATCCGAGTGCAGCCTCCCCCTGTGCTGGCACTGAGGCGTTTCTGGGGGAGATCAAAGCCCTCCTAACGCTCTCCGCGTGCTTTAAACAGGGAGATTTTGGTAGAGGTGGCCAAAGTGTCACCGTGTGGCAGGAGATTGTGCCCAGGGGCACAGGCAGTGCCAGGCTGCTGTCCCCAGAGCCCCACACACTGTGGGAGTGCTGGCCTGACTGACAGCAGCAGCGTGTGACACGGTGACCCGTGGCCAGGAGCCTGGGCTGGCAGCTGCACTCCTGACCTGCTGCATTTCTTCCTGGGGCTGGCAAGAGCTGGAGCCTCAGCCCGTCCCTCTGGGAGCACAGTTCACTAAATCACATTTAATGGTGTGGGGGGGTTTGCCTTCAAAGTCCTACAAAGATTTCTTTTTACATAAAACCTGTGCAATAGGAGAAAATCCTGTATTTTCTAACCGCTTAACTCCCGTTTGAAGGGTTAAATTTTTATTTCCTGGGTGAAATAAAGGTGCCCAGGATCCCTTCCAGTACAGGGAGAGAGGGATGGAGTTCTACAGGACGAGGGGGAATGGCTTCACACTGCCAGAGAGCAGGTTTAGGCACAATTTGATAACTCAGGGTGATATTTGATTTCAATCTCTGCTGCTTTGTGCAAAAATCCATCCTGGAGTGGATTCCCATAACCATAATGGATAATAAATGGTTTTATGAGGGGGAAAACAGATCTGGAGAAATCACAGCTCCTGCTCATGGACTGAATCTTGATAACACCTTGAGATCATTTCTGCAGCCACCTCTTCCAAGAGACTGATGAGTCTGTTCCTGAATGTCTCTGAAATTTGAAATCTTTCAGGAAGCAGAGGGAGATGTTCGTAACAGATTGCAGCTGGGGAACTGGCCACTTTTCCCTCCATAACCTTCAAATGCTGGCTGATCTCTGAAGTGCCACTCTGGATGTCTTTATCTCCCCCAAATTTGATGTTTTGGGCTCTTTAGTTAGGCAAAGAAACAAACCTCTCCCACTGGTTTTATCCCCATTTGTTTAAACAGATGGTTTCAACCACCCAAGTTTAATGGGAGGGAGCGTCAGGGCTACTTTCAAATGTTTCTGTTATTAAAAGCAAGAAAAAAAAGAAGCCTTTTTTTTTGTATTTTAAAACAAACAAAGCTTTGTGGTTTTACCAGGATTCCAAGCTTTGCAAGAGGTGTTTGGCATCACCAGGGCTTAGGATTTCAGCAGTTGCTTGGGCACCTGTGATAAATATTTGTCCCCTGCCAGGCAGAGCAGCCTGCTGGGAACTCCAAAACTAAAAAGCAAAGGTGAGAATGAGTAAAGGCACTGCTGGTCAGGTGTTTTTTTCTATTTCCAGGGCATTTAAAATGTGAATATAAGCCATCTTGAGTGTCACTGATAAGTGTTTCACTCAGCAGCCTCTTTGGTGTCTCTAGTGCCCATATCTGCCCTGTTATTCTCTGCAGTTGTTATCAAAATGGTTGGAAGAACTGGAAATAAGATTTGGTGGCCACAGAACTTTATTTTTTTGCTTAAACTCTTACCTGATTAGTTTTATGATTAATTACTGCCCACATCTATTATGTGATTGTCCCCACATACTTTTTTATATGTGCTGGGGGAAATGGAAGTAGGTCTGTGTGCCCACCCCAAAAACACCTCCCAGCTGCCCTTTTCAGCTCCTCCTAGCTCAGGATCTGTCCCAGGAATATTCTGAGCTGCTTTGCAGAGATGTTCCACTGATGTCCCCAGGCATTTTGGGCACCTTATCAGATCCATTCCAGGAGGTGCTCCCAGCTGCTGATGTGTTCTTTGGCCTGGGTTCAGCACTTCATGGGCTGGAGGCTCCCTGAGAAGCTCCTGTCAGACAAAGCAGGACTCAGATATTCTCACCTCAGTCTCACTGAGACATCAGAACCAAAGTTCAGGTGAGAATCTGTATTGGGAGCAAGAGTGTTTTGTTGGACAAACAGCAGGGACCTGTGTTTTCCATCAGTTGCAGGCAGCAGGAAAGGTGGTGATGGAGTCAAAATGCTCCTTTGCAGGAGGCTGGTGAAGAACAGCACTAAATGCTCCACCGAAATTAGGATTTTCAGTGGGATTTCTGGGTGCACAAAAGGTGCACACTCTCTTCTGCAGACATGGTGGAAGTGGCTTGGTGGAAATATTTAGAAGTGTCATTAAAAGCAGTTTGCTGTGGGCACAGCAGGCAAGGTCAGTATGAAGTGTCCTGTTTTGTGGTGAGAACAGCAGCAGCAATTTCAGGTTGTTATTTCTAATCTTTGCCTTTCTGGAATTGCAAGCACTTTGCTTTCTTTTTTTTGCACTCAAACAAATCGGAAGCCTTTAGATCCATTGATGGAATAATGTTCCTGAAGTCTTTCAGTGTGCATCTGGAGCCACTCTGGTGTGAGGAGGAGTCAGCTCAAGGCCTGTGTGAGCACTCTTTTTTTAGGATTTGAACTGATTTCCTGGTGAATTAATTGACATGCAATTTAGAATTGCAGTAAGGGAATGAACACACAAAAAAATCCATTGTATTCTGATTATTTATGGTTGGGAGGAAGAGCTGTGAATGGAAATTTAGTTCAGCCCTTTCAGCAGGAACCCAGGTTAGGGCTATAGCAGCAAAATCTCTTGATTTCAGCTTGAAACAAGGTGCAGAAACTGCCCAGTTTAAGGTCAGAGAAACCAAAACCACTGCTGGCAGTGCCCTGTTTACTCAGAGAGTAAATAATAATTATGAGGTGAAGCAGGGAGTCTGTCCTGTTTGGACACTCCAAATGAGGACATGAATCATTCCAGCCTTCCCTCCTGTAAAACACTGCTGCTCTTGCTAGATCTGCATTTTTATTTTGTGAAACCAGTTTCTGAGGGACCTCAGTGATCAGAATTAATGTAGCAGTGGGTCCTGGAGCATCCTTGCTTTGCTCCAAATCTCCAGCACTTCAGAGTTTAGTGTGAGAGAGATGTCCCGAGAAAGCACAAATCCACCGACACAGGCACAAATCAAACCTCATTTTCTTTAATAAAATGCTTCATGTGCACTGACCTCTGGCTCAAGCTCTTGAGAAGCCAGGAAATGATGCAGAGTTTGTATGTGGAGAATCCTGAGTGCCAGATGGTTCCCGAGGAGCCTCATTTCTGTCCTCTGATGTGCAGTATTTATTTATTGTCTCCTGCAGTGCCTTCCTGGGAGCTTGGAGGATCCCAAAACTGTGACACATCATAAGCTGATCCATGCTACTTCTGAGAAGGTGCTGACAGACACAAAAACAGTGCTGGAGGAGAACATTCAGGACAGAGGTGAGATTGTCTGGGTTTGAATTTTATCAGTCTGGAAGGAGGAGCTTGGGTTTCATCTGGCAAATTCCAAACGTTTTTAAGATCTTCTCTCTGCTCTAACATAGGAAGCTAAATAAATGGAACTAATACAAAATTCATCTCCAGGAGCAGTTGAATTTGAGGGATATCTTGCAGAGCTGCTCTCCCAGACCCTCTAACTTGTGGCAGTGTCCTTCCCTCTCTCACAGATGTGTTGCTGCTGGTCAAGAAGCGTGCACCAACGCTGCTGCCCAAGATGTCAGATGTGGTTGCAGAGGAGAAAGTGAGTCTGGAACACTTTAATTGCTTTATTGATGAAGTGTGGAGGGATTACTGTGATGTACTCTCCTTGTGGAGGCAGATGATGCCAGTTAAATTCTACAGGAACTGCTTCTTATTTCTTCCAAACTTAGAGGAAGCTGATGATGCATTTTTAACTGTCATTCTGAGAACATTTGACTTAAAATAAGACACACAGATACACTCTGTTAAAGTGTTACAGATTTGATCTTTGCACAAATGTCTAATAGCTAAAATACAGTTCAGCAAGTGCCTTAGTTTGTTAGAAAACCCAAAGAAATATGTTGGCTTGCTGTCAAGTTGTCTTCTGCCTTTAGCTCTGTGTGGTTTGTCACCCTCTAAGCAGCCTCTGGAGCTGGAATGTTGCCCTTCACTGTTTTATTTTGTTTTATTGGAGTTATTCCTGAGGCTCAGGGTGGTGTTGATGTATCACAGAAACTCAGAAGCCTCCAAGTTCTCTGGGATGCATCAGTCTCCCTCTTTGTGCTGGAATTTCCCTGCATGTTTGGGTGTAAGGACTGAGGGTGGGGCAGCCCAACAGGCCCAGCTGAGCTCTGTAATTGCAGGGAGACACTGGCACTGTTAATCTGTGGCGTTACAAGTGACAGAGTGCTGCCTGGTGTCTTGGGGAGCAATATGAAACTCTGTGCTGTGGCTAATGGGTTATGAAACCTGCTCCTGTTCCCTTCCCTGCAGAGGAAGCAGGAGCAGAAGGCTCCTGACAAGGATGCCATCCTCAAAGCCACTGCCAACCTTCCTGCCCGCAGCGTGGACCGCAGCGTGAGCCACCACAACATGAGGGATGTAAGTACTGCATCTCTTTGAAAACACACACCCAGAGCCCAACAGGCTGCTTTCTAGTTATGTACTAATCTTTTTTTTTTAATATACTTCTCTTTTTTCTAGAAGAGAAATTTAGATGTCTGTAATGTGTATTAAATAGCTTAAGGTTTAGACATATGGTAATAAAATACCGTCCTAAATTGTGATTTAAACGTTTTGCTTGTGCTTGGAAAAAAGCCTCAGAGCATATTCAAAATCTGGAAAATGTGAAGCTATGGGGTTTTATTTCTTCAGTCTTAAATAATTCAGGGGTTTCCTGTGGTTTATTTCCCTTCCTTGACCACTGCCCAAGGGGTGTGGTACAAATAAAAGGACCTTTCTGCCCAGGAGCTTTTACTTTCATGTAACACTTCACAGGAAGGTTGCAGACCTCCTGAGAGACTAAACAATGAAAAGAAAGCCCTAATAAAGCAACTTTGTGTACAGAGGGCCAGGCTGCTGCTGTGTTACTAACAATAGATAGATTAAGATTCACTGCTGGCTGGTAACTTCCTGTCTAAATGCTTTGACAGTTTCCTTTCTTGCAGTTCCAGACAGAGCTCCGGAAGATTTTAGTGTCTCTCATAGAAGTTGCACAGAAATTGCTAGCACTGAACCCCGATGCAGTTGAGCTGTTTAAGAAGGCAAATGGTATGAACATATCTTTAGCGTTGTTGGTTCAACACTGGGAATTTGTTTTTGGAGCATAAGAACAGGCTCAGAGTGAAGTTCAAACACTGATGTGGCAGCAAAGCTGCTGAGAACTTTGTGGTGAGAGTTTCACCTCGTGGATAAAAATCATGGATATAAAAAGTCCCTTTGGAATGGGTGAGAAGTTCCATTTAAAAATTGGTAGTAGGGGTGGTAAAGAACAGTTGAAAATTCACAAGGATGTAGTGAGATGAGGAGAAATGTTGGTGGGGTTGGCAGGAAATGCTCATCCTTGAGATCTGCTACAGCCAGATCTAACTTAATTTCTGGAGAAATGCTTAATAGATCTTCAGTGAATCTCCTATGTTTAATTGTGTGGAAATCCCATGGTCATGTGGCAGTTAGTGGCCTTTTGTTTGAGATCTTGAACACATCTGGACAAAGCCTTTGTCCTGGAAGAATCAATCTGAGCCGGAGCGAGCTGAGTGCAGCGAATTACATGATGAGGTGGCAAACTGGGGACAGAAACAAAAGAAGGGATGGGAGAGAGAACGGGGCTTGAACTTAACACGTGCCTTTCCATTGACACAGGGGTTTATGTGAGGCTGCAATGCATCTGAGCTCTGTTTTGTTTGTGTGTGTGCAGCCATGCTGGATGAGGACGAGGAGGACAGGGTGGACGAGATCGCGCTGCGCCAGCTCACCGAGATGGGCTTCCCCGAGAGCAGAGCTGTCAAAGCCCTCCGCCTGAACCAGTGAGTGTGCAGCACTGCCTGGCACTTAAAACAGCTCTGCCTCGCCACACATTTGCATCTTTTTTGTCTCCTTATATGGGACACCTCAGTGGAGGCTGGAGAAAGCCTGAACTCCAAGAAGTGCTGACTCAGGCACAGCGCAGGTGGCACAGGAAGGGGGATCAGGGCTGGATGTGCTCTGCAAGGTCTGTGGGTCACAGGGCTGCCAGGCTGGCACTCTTTCCAAGTATCATACTCACATTTTCTTCATCTTTCAAAGTCAGATTTTACAGAGGAAAGGGCAAAGTTAGCCCATCCACACTGGCCTTTCAGCTGTAGAAATATGCTTTGTGCTGATCTTTAAAAAATTCAAAGACTATTGTCAAGTCCAGAGAGCAGCTGCAGTAAAATAGGAGGTTATGTAGTTCTCCTGCCCCAAGAACAGCCAGCTGTACTGTCTCACTCCTCAGAGGGGTTTGTTAGGCCATTCTTGAAAAATCTTGGTGATAAGAGTCCACAACATATTCCAATCTCACTTTTCCAGTATCTCAGGAAGACTTTCTCCCCTGCTGTCCTGCAGCTTTCATGTTGTAACAGAAAAGCCAAATAGGCAAAGGCTTTCCCTTCCATGAATATGCAGTAATTCCTGTGTGTCAAATGGAATGACACATTCCTTGCACTGTTGTTGTCTTGGCTTTTTCCTTTCTACCTGTTGGGGAGAGGTGTTTGGGAGCTCTGAGGACCCCCTAGCTGGAGCAGTTACACTGCACAGCAAGTGATGGTATCACACTGTGGTGTTCTGCTCCCTCTCCCTGAGGAACAGAGCCCCTGGCACCTGAGACGTGGCTCCAGTGCACATTTGGAATGTGCTTTGTTGGCAGTTCTGTCCACAGCTGCATACAGCCAGTTCTTCTTTGGGAAACAAAGCAGATGCTGCAGAGAGAGAGGTGACTCCCTCAGAAACACCTTTCAAAATCTGGGTTGCAGGTCCAAGCTGGACTTGGAGCCTCCCTTTTCCTGAATTCAGAGACAATTGTGGATGCCCAGAGAATTGAAGTGCTCTGAGATTTCCTCCAAAACTTCATTTATGAGTTTTCAGGTCCTAATTAAGCTGCAGGCGCATCTGGCATGGGGTAGATGGATGCAGGTGGAGCGTGGCTGTCACATCCTCAGCGGTGTTCCCGTGTGTTTTCCAGCATGTCCGTCACCCAGGCCATGGAGTGGTTGATAGAACACGCTGATGACCCTTCTGTGGATGCTCCTCTGCCAGGTTCTGCTCCTGCAGAAGCCCCAGCTGAAGGTGCTGCCTCCTCTGCTGAGGCAGCTGCGGGTCCCAGCTCAGAGGAGGGCGGGGAGGAGGCCAAGGATGAGCTGACGGAAATCTTCAAGAAGATCCGGAGGAAAAGAGAGTTCCGTCCTGACCCACGGGTAGGTGCTACTAATCCCCTCTGGGACTTGTGGGACTACGAGGGAATTCATGGGCACCATAAAATCCAAACGTTTTGTTCATAAATGAAATGGGCCCGCTCGGTAGATGGGTGTTGTGCTGGCTTGGCAGTATTTCAGTGGAGGTGTTTAAACTCAGGGATTTTACCTCAGGAATGCTTTACTGTCTGGGATAGCAGGATCTGCCTGAAAGGCACAGTTACTTCTGCACCTGGAAACTCTCTGAGGGGAGTGACATGAGCTCCAGACCCCTGGCATTGCCGTTTTCACTGCAGCCTGGGAAGGAAGGGTGGCAGGACAGGAGTAGATCCTTCGGCTGTAGAAAGGGTTGGATGGGGATCTGGAAACCCTGGGGTAGTGGAAACTGTCCCTGCTCCTGGCAGGGAATTGAGGCTGGATGATCTCTAAGGTCCCTTCCAACCCAAACCATTCCATGATTCTGTGGAAAGGACAGAAGAACATTATTGTTTTAGGGAACAAGGCAAAGTACCACCAGCAGGCTGAAGTCTTGCAGCAAGGACAGAAGTTGCCCTTTTTACAGAACACAGCATTACCTGCAGTGGGAATGTGTTGTTCTCCCACTGGGAACACAGCAGGAGGGGCTCTGGGACATCTGGCACCATGGGTTTACATCTGGCTGCTCTGCAATGTGGGTTAAGAGCTGCAAATGTGTTTGATGGCCTGGGTGCGATTCCCAAACAATGAAACATTTTGGTACCATTATCTGAGTAGGTTTGTGTGAACACATCACACTTCCCAGCAGTATGGTAATCTGGGAAGTGAAATTAAATGGGGTGAACAGAACCACAAAAGCACATCAAGGCTGATCTGTCAGTGAGATGTGAACAAGAGCTTTGTGACAGGAGAGGAGTTCCAAAATGAGGGGTTTTTCCTCATTTTCCTTCTCTTTTCTACCCCAGGTATACATTTGCTTTTTGCCTTGCATTCAGCTTCCAGTGTTGAGGGTAGGAACTACCTTCACTCCTAAGATTTTTTAGTTCTTCCATAATAAAGACACTTTTGATATAGAATATTTGAAAACTTTGTTAATAAAACTACTGAGGGCTTTGCATGTGGAAATAATAAGGGGGTTTTACCTCACATAAACCTGTGCACAGAAGGTGAAGGGATATGATTGCTCTCATTTCTGATCTAAATGTAAGATTTGTTAAGCTGTGGGGTTCTGCTCTAGGCTGTCATTGCCCTGATGGAGATGGGATTTGATGAAAAGGAAGTGGTGGATGCACTCAGAGTGAACAACAACCAGCAAAATGCAGCTGTGAGTACAACATCCTTGCTGCTCCTTCCTGCTCCAAGGGTCTGTCCCACTGATGCTTCTCATCCTTCAACTGGATCATGTTTTGATCTGTCAGAAAGTCAGCTCCTGCTGGAGATTCAGGAGCACAAATTCTGTGCCTCCTTGAAATTTGGTGCACAACTGGGATGACTGAAGAGGGTTTGGACTCCTCAGAGGAGCTCCTTGGGGTCTGTGAGGCTGAGGCTGGGTTTTCAAAAAGCTTTTGAGAAACTCCCTCGCCTCAGTCTGCCAAAGAGATTGTGCTGTCATGAGAAAGGAGAAGGTTATTCCCAAGAATAACTGGTTTAGGACAGGAATAAATGATTCAAGCCATGCGATGTGTGAATTACCAATTGACAGCAATACTTCCACAGTTTCTAGAATCAGAAAACAGGAAGTTTTTCCAAGATTGATTAGTCTTGGAAATTTTCCTTATATTAAGGAAAAAAAATTTCTTTATATAAAAGAAAATTTTGTGGGCCCAGCTGACAGCCAGGAAAGCCTCTCTCTAGTATCCAGTGCTGGCTACTGTTGGAGAGAGGATATTGGGTTGGATGGTACAAATGAACATGTGAAAAGAAATGTACAGCTCAGGCTTTAATTGCGAGAGGGAAAAGTATTTTTAAAATGCCACATTAGCAAAACTTTTGAGTAGAGACACTTTGGTTCTAATGAAATCTGATGTGCCTGCTGATTTCTTTCAGTGTGAGTGGCTGCTGGGAGACAGAAAACCTTCTCCAGAGGACTTAGATAAGGGCATTGACACCAACAGTCCTCTCTTCCAAGCCATCTTAGAAAACCCAGTGGTACAATTAGGGCTCACCAACCCTAAAACTCTACTAGGTAAGTCCTGTGTGGGTTCCAGCTGGATTTGCCAGGAAATCCAAGCAGAGATGATGATGCCAGCCCCCTCTGGGGGATAGGGGCAGCTCTGGAGCCTGTTCCTCACTTGCATGAGCTCTGCTGTTTGTTTGCTTCATCCTGAGCCCAGAGCAGGCCTTGGGGCTGTCCCAGAAATGGTTGTAATTCCCCAGGATTACACTTGCTAAACTCAGAACTTGAATAGCTGCTGGCTGCAAAGCTTTTGTGGATTTAGGAGACCTTTTGTGTGCTCCCTTTGGCCACGAGCGGAAAAATTAGGAATGTCTGTCTAGAACTCTGATTATTTCACAGAAAAAACAAGGCTGTCTCCAGCTGTGCAGCTCCCTGGGTGTGAGGCCTGATCACTGAGACAGAAGGGAACTTGTGGAAAAATATCCAAACAAGAAGGTTGAGCTAAGGTTTTGCCTATCAAATGGGGATAAAATGGGAATACACCCTTCCCCTTGCTTGGGTTTGAGCTCTGTGGTAAAGTCTGTGTGCTCAGGGTCAGAAAGGCTGTGGGCACAGTGCATGCCCAGCTGAGGACAGAGCCTCAAATCCCTGAGGAATTGCTCTTTTTGACAACACAGAGCAATGACTGACTCTGCCATGTAGATAGAAAAAGTTTTGCATTTAATCTTTAGCTTCAAAACTTACTTGAAGCAATGCTTTTAAATAAAAGCTGTGTGCACAGCTCATTCAAGAGAGCCTTTAAAAATACAACTTTAAATGTAATCAGGAGAGTTTGCAAGCCTTTAAATAATTCAAGAGCAGAACCTTCCCACTCTTGATTTCTGAACAAATGGGCTCTTCATTTCCAACAGGGGTTCCTCACTGCAGCTCAGAATATAAATAGAAAATGAAATGCCATTATAGGAGCTCGTGGAGCTTGGATGAACACCAGAGAATGTATTCCTAATGATACATCTGCAAATTGCTTATGTCACAGGTTTTAATAATGAGGGTTTGCATTTAATGAGTTCCATACAGAATATCAATAAATCTTTAGTTTTAAGCTTGTGAGTCTGTGTAAAAGAAAATAGTTCAAATGCTGAAAGGGGAGATCTGGATTTTATTTTGGGCTTTCCTGGAGGCAAGTTGCATGACCTTGAGCAAGGTATTAATGAGGAACCTTTCAGAGGTGCCGGGCATTTCCAGCTCCCGCTAATGGCACTTGAGCTTTGTGCACTGCCACTCCTGGGAAAATTAACCCTGACCTTGGGCCAGGCTCTTACAACACTGACATTTTGGTAACTGTGCAGCTGCTTTTTTTGTCCCATTCTGTGATGACTGGCTCCAAATGTCCAGGAGCCCAGCTCAGTGGCTGTCAAAGGGCTTAAATGAGTGCCTGGCCCATTCCTCTGCCAGACTGGCAGCTCAGCTCTTGCAGTGCCTGTCTGGTTCCTTCAGCATGAGTAGAAGAATCAAAACTAGGAACAGTACAAGAAAACAACAGAAAGGCAAACAAACAGCAAAGCTTATTGTAATGACAGATTATTAAATATTTGGACCACTTGGAACAGGCAAGGGGTGGCCGTGGTTTCCATGAAATATCTTGCTTAAGTACCAGGGAGGAAAAGGATATTGGTGCAAAAAGTCCAGGCTGGGATGTGCAAAAAGCTTTGGTCAGAGGAGTTGGAGCTCCAGGAGAGCGTTCAGGAAGGGATAAATTTCATGGCATGATGCTGGAGACCGAGACCTGGACACATTTGTTAAGGCTTTACCTTTTCAACCTCATGTCCTTGAGGTTTTGTGGGCTGGCCTGTAATCCAGGCTGATTATTTAATCCCTGTCTGCAGTGAATTTAGTGCTGAGAAGGGAGGAAAGCACAAAGCCTGTAGCATCATGCCAGGCTGTGGACCCTTGGGAATGCACAAGGTGTATCCCCACCATTTCTGAGCACTGCCTTCGAGTTGTGGCTGTTTCTCAGTGCCCTGCTGTTGAAACCTCCCAAACATTGAAGGACTAACTGTTTGCAACCCCTGTTTCTTGGCAGCCTTCGAGGATATGCTTGAAAACCCCTTGAACAGCACTCAGTGGATGAACGATCCCGAAACGGGGCCGGTGATGTTACAGATCTCCCGAATCTTCCAGACACTGAATCGCACGTAGAGGGAGCTGCCAGTGCACTGTGCCACTTCCCCCTGGCCCTCACTCCCCCTCCACCTCCACGGGAGGCTGCCTGGATGGCTGGGAAGGGGTGGATGGAAGGGAGGGAGGGAGGGAAAGGAGGAGATCCTGGCTGGAGGGGTCTCTCGCACGAGAGCTTTCGTAGTTACGGCCAACAGGAGTGAGTTGCCTTGTGGATTTAGTGTTAGTGGAAGAGGTTTGAGGATTTGTTTATGTTTTCAGGTATTAGGTTTAAAATAAAGTATATATATTAAAAAAAAAAAAAATAGGAAAAAGGTTTTGTGAAAACGCTTAAGAATCTGATTGTTGGAAAGAAATACTGCTCGTTCAAAAGGCCTGTGACAGTTTTCTGGCCAGTTTTGCTAGGTTCTGGCTGGTGTTTACAAAAGGTCACTGACCACTAGCATAGGATATCAATCATCTCCATACAGTATTAATTTATAGCTCTTATCAAATTGCAAAACTGCTTTTTACAAAAAAAAAAATGATTCTTAGGAAATGTTTTTTAAAAGCCCAAATCTTGGGAGAGCAAGCACATTTCTATTCAAGCTTGTTTATCTGGCATTCTAATTTAAGCAGAATCATTCAGAGATGGAATTCTAATAAATAGCATTACTTTTTCCTATTTATTTGCTGCATTAGTGTTGTTGCAGTCCCACTGGGGTTGTACTTGCTGGAGGTTCTCTGGCAGGTACAATAAAGGTGCAGGACCTCTTTCAGCACAGAATTCACCACATCAAAACTTGGATTCCCAAGTGGCTGCAATTCCTAAGCTCACAC